AAAATCTTTTACATGTAAAAATTTTAAAAATGTATTTTCTCTATCTTAAAATAATAAATATTTTTTAATTTATCTTTAAATTAAGGATTTAGAAACAATTTTTATTATTACATATTTTGTCCTTAAAAAAGAAATAAAAATAAAGAACTTTTTTAAGAATAATGATAAATAAAACCAAAATTTAAAACTAAAATTTAAGGATAAAAAATATTAAAAAGTATATTTTATATTATTTAATGATTGATTCTTTTTTTTAGAACCTGTGATATTGTAGATAGTAATAAGGTTAAAGTAAAAATATATATTTGTTTATCTTAAAAAATAATAATAATAACAATTAATTCAAGACAAATTAAAAATTTTAGAACGATAATTATTTTGGGACAATGGAGTAATGTACTCCCTACATCCCTAATTTAAAACTTTAGAAATAATTACCACTCTATAATTTCAAATTTGTCTGGAATTAATTATTATTTTTTATTTTTAAGATAAATAAATATATTTTTTACTTTAACCTTATTATTATCTACAATATCACATGTTTTAAAAAAAAAATCAATCATTAAATAATATAAGATCTACTTTTTAATATTTTAAATAACGTGACATTAGTTAAATTTTAGTCTCAAATTTTAATCTTATTTATCACTATTCTTAAAAAGATTTTTTATTTTTATTTCTTTTTTAAGGATAAAATATGTAATAGTAGAAATTGTTTCTAAATCTGTAATTTAAAGATAAATTTGAAAATATTAAATATTATTTTAAGATAGAGAAAATACATTTTTAAAATTTTTACATGTAAAAGATTTTTTTAAATTCTTAATTTGATAAAAATAATATTATAATCTTAATTAATTAACAAATTAAGCTAACAATCTTAATTATTTATCATTAGTTTTGATGAATTATAATTTAGTCTATTTAAGGACTTAGTTAGTAAATTATATTGTGAAATTGTTTGAATATTAGTTCGTAGATAAAAAATTAAATTTATCCCAAAAAAAAAAAAAAAGAACTATTTGTATCTACCTTTCAGTCTTTTCTTCCTGCAGGATGAAAAACACAAGAAACCAGCGAAAATGAATACAAAGACAGCTGCCAATGATGATACAGAGATGATCACAATCTTCTTTGTGCTTTTTCTCCCATTCCCTGCTCCTACATATATTACTCCAAACAATCACAATTTTTCTTTTAAAAGAGTCTAGTTTGGAAACTTAATATGACCACTTAAAATTTGTCCTAAATTAGTACATACCTGCATTGGGAACAGGCTGTGGTGGTATACCTGCATTGGGAACAGGCTGTGGTGGTATACCTGCATTCGGAACAGGCTGTGGCGGTGGGCTCGACTGAAAGAAAGGGTATTTTTCATATCTTGCAAAGCAACTCGGGGCAAAGCAACGCCACCCTGGGCGCCTCGGGCACCATGCCCTGATTTCAGTTTTAATATTCTTCAAACAAGAGTAACATGAACTACCATTGAGATCTCTGCTGCACTGCGTTAGGATATCAATAGGCCGCGACATATTACTATTCAAAACTTTGTTCTGAGCGTCAAATAGCATTGTTGAGTTCTGAGCTTTCACAGTCGAATTATCTAGCCAACTAAGCACCTCAGAGTCCTCTTCCGGTGAAATAGTTTCTTCTTCATTACACATACAGAAGTCTGGATCTAAACTTATTTCACCAAAGAAGTTGCTAGAGGAGTAGCGTAACAGGCATGCATCATACCAGACGACTGCTCCTAGAGAAGAAGAGCAATTTTTGGGCAGAAATTGGGTAGCATTATTGACACAGGCTTGGCAAGTGTCTCTATCAACATCACCTCTGCAGAGAAACAGACCATAGATTCCATTCAAAGATTCATTGTAGAAGAAGTTATCGGAAGATTTGGAGTACAAAGAATCCATCAGGTTTTCAACTAAATTTTGATAATTGGAGTCGGCAGAATATCCCTCTAAACATTTGGGAAAACGCAAGTAAAACTGGCAAGTGATGTATCCGAAATTTAACACAAAGATTGGGATCAAAAACAGAAGAAAAAGTTTAAATTTCTGAAGAAGAGAGATCATCATTTCCGTGATACAATGGAAAAGGGGACGATGATACTGAAGATATGAATTACCGGGGTATTTGTTCTTTTGTACTCTGGAGATTGAGAAGCTTAAGACGAAGATGAAAAGAGTGTTTGGTCAAACTTGTGATTTTACGATTGAGATGGACTTCTCAACAGCTCCAACAAATTGTTGACTCCGTGTGTGTTTGGTGGAGCTGTTGACTCCGTGCGTGTTTGGTTTTATTGAGAAGTCCTTCTCAATTGTAAAATCACTAATTGTACCAAACACTCATTTTATAATTATAAGTTCCAGTGCGTAATGATAATAGTATGTTTTGAGCTTTTGACAAGTTAAAAATCCTCTTATTAACGAAGGGAAATTCCAGATAAAATGACTTCTTAGTATGGTATTTCATGGAATCTTAACGTACATGTATTGATTTGGCATGCTTGTTTACAAGACTAATTAAGAGCAATGGTGACCACGTTGGCAATGGCAGCCACGTAAAGTATAGCATATTATCACTTGATTTTCTTGTACCCTTAGGTAGACGTTTTTAATGAGTTGGATGCTTATGTGGCACTTTTCCCTCTTTCATCTCCATGTCACCTTGCCCCAGTCAAAATTACATCTTTTTGTCTAATTCCAAATATATCCTTTTCTTCTTAGACTACCTAATTTCCCTCTCTCTCAATGCACAGCAGATCAGTGGCCAACGACAGCAAGGGATATCTCTCTCTCTCTCTCTCTCTCTCTCTCTCTCTCATGTGATGGTGGAGCAAAACGGAACCCAGATTAGAATCCAAGAGGTCACATAGAAAAACACAATTATAAAGAGAAGGTTAAAATACTAATTTGGTCTCTCATCTTTCAGATTTGTTTCAAAATTATCCTTTAACTTCAAAAAGTATCAAAATTATCCTTAAACTTTAATTTTTAATTAAAAAAACTCTTTTGTTAATAGAAATGTCACGTTATTTTGCCACAAAATTAATTTTTTTTTAAAAATTAATAACATATAAAATTAAACAGTCATATTTTACTAGCATAATATATTTATATTTACATATCATATTAATACATAATCAAAGATAAAAAATCAAATTAGCATTTGTAATCAAACTTGAAAAACTAAATAAGCACTTGTTTTCAAAGTTTAAAAACTAAATTAGTATTATTTTTAAAGTTTGAGAATTATTTTGGTATTAAAAATTAAAATTCATGAACAATGTTGGCATATGAAGGAAAAATCGTGTAATCTGAATCAGGTCATTCATACCATCCCTGAAATTTTCTCAACCATGCAATATTAATGTATTGATCAAGTTGAACTTATTAACTTAGTATTTTTTTTTTAACACATACACTTTTTAATTCAACATATTACATAACATATTTATTAAAAAATTATTTTTAATTTAAAATTAAAATATAACAAAAAATTAAAATATAAAATAGTAGAAACAATATATAAAAATTAATTAAATTAATTAAATTTATAATATATTTTAATAATTAAACTAAATTAATATAAAAAAGGCCAAATCAAAAATATATTAGTTATTGTTATTATTATTTTACCATACCTTCTAACAAAATGTGGCACAGATCAATTACTCAATTCGGTATTAATATCTTAGTCAAATTCACCGGCCCTTTTATGATTGATGCAAAAATGTGGGACGGGTCAATCTCCGAATTTGGTGTTAAGATGGTGAAGTTGACCTCATAATAGTTTTTTTCCCTTTCTTTTAAGTTTTATTCTAAAATATATATATATTTAGGCTAAATAACTCAGTTATTTGGTGTTAAGATGGTTAATTTGGCATGTTAGTTGACGTTGTTCGCCATTTCTTTATTTTTATTTTAATTGGCCCTTGTACCACTTATTTTAGACGAAAATTGAGACAGGTCAATTATTCAATTTTGTATATTGGCATGAGAGAAAGAAAAATTATTAACTTTTTGGTAACAAAAATTTTAAAAATTTTAAAAATTG